CTCATACTTCTCCGGTTGATCACGCATCAACGACTTCATATTGGACACCATTAGGTTATAAGATTCAAGGGCCCAAGGATATTTTTTGAAGTTCTCAAAGTCTTCCACCCAGTCAAGATGATTGGCATTGATCTTTGTGTCGTGGTTTCTAGCCAGCAACATACAATCTACCACAAAAAGTGAAGCCAACTTCACAACTGCTAAGGAGTCAACCCTCCTCTTCGGATTTAATGCCGCCATTGTTTCCTTCAGTTCTTCGTACGTGACACGCTTCTGTCCTTTAAAGAATAACTTAGCCACACTACCTTTCTCACCGTTTTTCACAAAACGGGGTCTGGTTGTGTATGCCGGAAGATGAGTAATAGCACAAAAATCTTGAAAAGTGAACTTAAAGATTTTTCCTCGTATAGAAAACCAAAGCTCATCCACAGGTTGTCTCCGAACCATCCGCAACAACAACATATGGACAATCTGCCCAGAAAATTGGAGTTCTGGAGTTTCAACCAAATGTCCCCACGGAAGGTTCTTAAAATTTTGCAGCTCACTCTCTGGTATAGCAGCCAACAAGTTTTTATATTTCCCAAAAGATGAGCACAAAGAATATTGCGCCGGAAAGTGGGACTCAACCGGAACCATCAGTTCATGCTTCTTCCTACCAATTACACAAAAGAACTCGTTCATGTACATACTAAATCATTTACTACTACTTTAATTGTACATACCACACAATGCAGCGTCCCAAAGATGTTCCAAATCCTACAACATGGTCACTTAACAACCCCAAACCCCTCCTATATAGTGCACTGTCATTCTATTTTTATCAATAATGTTAATTAAGTGTGAATTTCAAAAATACCATACACATTTCAAAAAATTAATAATTATCAAGGAAGACAGACAACACATCACAAACTACAGACAATTCAAGTCACACGTAAATATATAAAACGACTTCCATGAAAATCAATTGAACAAGGTTAACCGTCTGCCCACAGACATTATACTTCCATCTCCCAAACAAAATCAAATTCCTACAATCAATCTGGCCCCTTAAGGTTCCCACACCACCATTTACAGTGTTTCTCACTTCATCAAGCTCTAATTTTCAACTTTCACCTTCGAAATCTCATATTGATTTGAAAAAAAAATACAACAAACACATACCACACAATAGGGGGTGAAATTCAACAATACTACTCACAAATATGTTCAAGAAGTGGATATTACCGTTTTTTTGAAGACTCAGCAAGAGATGACAGTGAAGTACGAACCATCGCGCCGGCTTCTTCCGGTGGAAACGGCTTCGAGGTTGGCGCTTGGAGAGGAAGACGGTGAGGCGCCGGTGACAAGAGGTGGACGGCTTCAGAGGCAGCGGTGCTAGACGAAGAGGATGAACGGCGTGGGGGGCATGCGCAGAAATCGGAAAAAAAAAATCGAAGAGGAAGGAAGTGGAGAGTGGAGTGGAGAGGCGGGAGAAAGGGGAAGAGGCTCGCACGTGTGAGAGAGAGGTGGGAAAGGGGGTAAAAAATCTGAAAATATTTTGTTTTGGCCTTTTATATGGTGTACATCTTGTGTACATTTAGATGTACACATAGCATTTTCGTACTAAATTACTCCGTATGAGAGTATGGCATAAGTCAAACATGGGAGTTGGTATACTAGTGGTATTTGACCGATGGCTTTCATTATAAGTCAAATGTTCATATATTGACTACCAACTTCACACGGAAAGAAAATTTATTGAGGACGTAATTTTGAACCATTTAGTGAAAGAAAATTAATACTCGACACTGTTGAAAATATATGTGTAATGGGTTATTTTAGAGTACCAAACCTATCACTCCTAAACTTTATAGGGTTTTTTTTTTAATAAAATTGTACTTTACAAAAGAAAATAACTTTAATTAATACCAACTATCTTTCATGAAATAATACATATAGAAATAACTTTTAATAATATCAATTATCTAATGTAATAAAAAATAAAATAGAGTTACATTTCTACCAGAAATCCAATCATTTAAGACATAAAAAATTAATATCAAATCATCAAATATTGGATATTTGGAAATACAGTAAATTATTTCATATTTTGATATTAGTTTTTGATGAGTTAAATATATAACTAGTGAAAATTTGCTATATACTACGTATCACTTTTGATGTATATATTCAAATAGTTGATCTTATTGAAATTTATTTCCAAAGTTCATATCATTCTTGATTCATGGAAGATAATTGATATTATTTAAATTTATTTTCCCAATTATATTTAATAATATCAACTATTCGATCATTAATTATGTAACAAAAGCGAAACATAACCATTTCCCTTTAGAAATTTAATCATTTATATCAAGTAATAATACTTTCAAATAACCTTTATTTGATGGTTTGATATTGGTTATCTCTTAGATAACTGACTTTCTAGTTGGAAAGCACCTACATATTATTCTTATTATATGTTCAAATAATTGATATTATTAAAAATTATTTCAAAATACATATTATTAGTGGTTTACAGGTTAATTATACTTGGTATTATTTATATTTATTTTCTCGTAATTTTATGTTCATCCATTTATTTATTTATTAAATAATTAACTTTTATTCTAGTATACTAAGTTGTAGTTAATTATATTTTAATTTTATTTAGTTTGAGAATAATATATAAAAATTAAAATCATCATCACACAAGTAACAAGGTGTTTGAACACTAAGGCTGACCACTACCCTAGAGTGAAAAGATTAGATTGAACTTTCCACTCCAAAAAACCTTAAAACCTTGGTATTTGGGAATGATTTTAAGGAATCATATGTGACTCCCTTATCTCAACCATTCAATTTATCAGTGGAGAAGATGTCACATGTGATTCTTTGAATATTTTGTGTATTTGGAGGTGCCAAAGGTAAAAGTGGGTCCAATTTATGATATGAATACAACTCTTCTTTAAAGTGTCATAACTTTTTATTTGTACTTCACCTCAAGTTAGGGGTGGGATCAGGATGATCCCGATCCCGATTGCCCAAATCCTGATCCCGTCCCGATCCCGATTAAAACTACAATAGGATCCTGTATCCCGTCCCAATTAAGTCGGGATCCCGACATTAAAATCCTGATTAAGTCGGGATTCCGATCGGGAATCCCGCTGAATCCCGCTAAATCCCGACAATGAAGTATCATCAAACATAAAATTATGTAATTTCTGTAGTTAAACAACAACTTTGATATTTAGTGGTTTCAAGATTATTCTTTGTTCATTAATTGTTATACCATATTTATCATCAGCCACTTATAAAATTTATTGTAATAATTATCATCTCAAATTCACACTAGTACATACTTTTAGAAGAAAAAAGATTATTTGTAACTTCAATTAATTGATAGTATAATTTTTTTAATAAGCTATCAAGGCTTAGTGAAACTTACTTCAAACATTATATAAAAACCACTAAAAGAAGGATGTGTAACATATATTATTTAAGATTCAAAACTAAGTAGACTCATTGAGAAACTTTGTGACCAATAAATGTAATGTATAAATACATATTATGATTATTTACTAAAGAAATCAATCTTAGTCTCGATCATGATTTTTTAAAGAGTTCATCAGAACCGCAAAATTTGTAATATTGTTGTGATTTAGATTGTCAGGATCAAGAATAATATCTATTTAGTTAGGATCCCGATTATTCGTTTTCGGACAAATGCCGAATAGTTTTAGAAGTTTGATATTGTAAGATACTCATAGTAAAAGATTAATCTATGTAAGGAATAAGTAATTAAAAAATGCAAATATTTAGATACATATTTATTTTTTATAAATGTATATTCATTTTTTATATATTCATATATATATATATATATATATATATATATATATATATATATATATATATAATGTCGGGATGTCGGGATTTTCCCGATCCCGACTTTTTAAAAAAAAATTCGGTCCCGTCCCGACTTAGTCGGGATCGGGAAAAATTCCCGACTAGTCGGGATCGGGAATGTCGGGATCGGGATTGTCGGGATCGAGATCGGGAGTCGGGAGCTTTTTCTCAGCCCTACTTCTGATGAGGTGATTAACTCTGAGTCTGATTCGAGGGTCGCCAGTTGAATTGCCTGCGCTCTTTTTGTTTTTTTAGTTCATATTTGTATGTTGTGATATCAATATAAGTCATTTTTCATATAAAAAACAATTTGGATACGAAGATAATATGATTAGAAATTTAATATTTTCCCTATTTTGGCCGAAGTACTCACTGCTCTTCATTCAATTTCGTTTAGTATTTTTCCTATTTTGGCCGAAGTACTCGCTGCTCTTCATTCAAATTTCGTTTGATGGCATGATACTTTCATATAAAGCCAACGTGTTTACATTGTACAAAGAGTATTATATTTGTCAATATGATATTGTACGGTGTATGCTACCATTTTTGTCAAGATAGTAATGAGGTTTTACTACTATCAAGAAACAATGAATTAGGTGGTTGCAAATGAACTTAATTGAATGATTTTACAAAGTTTGTGAATGATTTTTTTAAAATACGAGGATCTAATTGATTTTTTCTTAATAGCACGAGAATCAAATTGTCAGTTTTCCCTTAATATTACTAAAAATTAGATAATGTATAAAAAATAATGGTTTTTAATTTTTAAAATGCGACTAATAAGTATCAAATTTACTAAATTGTACCATCTAGCGTGCAAAGAATCACTCCTCCGTCCCTTAAAATTTTGTTAACTTTCACTTTTTTGTTGTTCCACTAATTTTGTCACTTTTTTTTTAAATAAAAGATTTATGATTCCAATTAATTCCGTATTTTATGCACAAACTTTAGTCACACAAATTTTACTTTAATAATAATCATGTACATTAAACTTGGTCAAGATTTAGACTCTGTTTGGTAGTAAAAGTTGGTAATGTTTGGTAGAAAGTAAATTTTACACGAAAATCGAAAATAAGCATTTTTTTTTTAAAAATCACTTATTTCGACCACCAGCCCAGATCACCGGCGCCGATCACCACCACCAGCCACTAGCCCTCAGCGACCCTCCCCATCTTCCCAATCCAATCCCCTCTCCAATCTCCATGCCCTCCACAGCGTCCCCAACAGTCAAAGTTCAGCACTGTACTTGATCGTCGAAATGCCCGCCCCAACAATCCGAACATCGACTCCCAACAGTCCCATAATCGGCTACGGCTCCCAAGTCCCAATGTCCGACCCTAGCCCTGATCGAACACATAGCCATCGTATCACTGATCGAATACATTAGTAGATGACCGACGCAAGCCCGCAGGTCTGAAGCGCCGCCGCTTCGAAAAATAGGTGAGAAAACCGAGCGACCTGTGGGTTGTGACTGCCGCTTCTATTCTTCAAAATGGTGGAAAATTCTGATTCCAATTGCTTGATTGCTTTAATTCTGGTTTAGTGCTTGGTTGATTCAAGGGCCAATTCAGTTACTCAGCCACGCCATTTCCTATTTCTATCAACTTGTACGTAGTATCAAATTATATATGTTGAATTGATGTGACGTATGATTTATAATTCCTATTTTATTATCTTGTTATCTTATTGAATTGTTAGTTTGCGATAGAGGTTAAAAGTTGTTGTTTATATTTGTTGGTCTTTTAAAATGTGTTCTTCAACTCAAATTTATGAATTTTTATTACATTTGTAAACTTAACATGGCCAATTAAAAAAATCTTCACATGAATATCAATTTTTTGAAATATTTCTATTATGCATCTTACTTTAAAGAGAAATGATTTTACAATTTTTCAGAATAAGCTCGAGTATAGCCCCTAGGCCCTAGAAATGGTTTTCCTTTAAAGAGAAATGGTTGTATGCGTGAATATATGAATAAGATTCAAATTAGGTTTTTCTTCTTTTGTTGTTAGTAGGAATAGACGCAGATTTGGGGTTTTCAAGGCAAACATGCTCAGTGTCTGCTATTCTATGCTAACGGAATATTTAATCGAAGGTTCTCCCAGTGGATATACAAAGAAGTAGAGACCTAATAGAGATAACAATCCCTTCTGTAATGGCTGAAATGCCAATTTTATGCTAAATTAATGAGTTGTCTGCTAAATGAGCCAATTTCATGATCCTAATTTCGTTTTCGGATTGCCCCCAATTTGATCATATGTACTATTAATAGTGCTAATTACAGTAGTAGTTTTGACTTCTGTTTATATCCTGCAGATGCTTAATCAAATTAATCTGATGAATTAAAAGTTGAAACCATGGTGGCCTTAAACCTCTGTTCTTTGCTTCTATTCTCTGCATTTCTTCGTTTGTTCTTGATCCTCTACGGTGAATGGCAAGACACACACATGGAGGTTCGATACACTGATATTGACTACTTTGTATTTTCTGATGCCGCCGCCCTGATGGCCAAAGGTGAATCCCCTTACAAGAGATCCACCTACCGCTACTCACCGTTTATTGCTTTTCTCCTCATCCCCAATTCCTTCATCCATCCTTCTTGGGGCAAGTTCCTCTTTTCTGCATCAGGTAATATATTACTGACAATCTTTTTCTATCGTGGAGCGTTTTCTTGAAATTCTTATGTGTATTGAAATGCTAATTTTTATGCATGGCAGATCTGCTTGTGGGGTTTCTAATACACAAAATCCTGAAACTAAGAGGGGTGCCGGAGAGACTAGTGTCCTATTCAGTAATGGTCTGGCTGTTTAATCCTTTTACCTTTACAATTGGAACTCGTGGAAACTGCGAGCCAATCGTTTGTGCCATTCTTCTTTGGATCATTATCTGTCTCATGAAAGGCAAGTCTTTTGTTAACTTTTGGTTTAACTACAAAAAAAAGAATTGGTTTGAAACCCAAGTTCGTGGGCCAACACCTGCGCTTGCACACCCAGAATGCCGGGGGTGTGGGGTGTGGGGGGGGACTTAAATTGTGGAACCTTTGTTATCTAATCTCTAAGTACTCGCCAGGTACTTGTTACTCGGGGTAGGACCTTGCCTATTGCCTATTTGTTACCTTGAGTACGAGCTACTCGGGGTAACTCATACTCATTGATAAGGTCGACTTGCGGAATTACTCGGAATCAGTAATTGATTTTTTAAGGTTATATATGGAAAATTTATACTCCGTACTAAAGTGGGATATTATGGAATTTATAAATAATTAGTGGGTATTTTAAAAACTGGAAAATAAGATTACTAAGAGATGATCTGACTTGGGAGTTGGGAACAAGTACAGGCAGCCCAATAAGCCTCTGAATCATTGATCCACGGGCAACTGCAAGGAGACAAAACAGAAGAGATAATGTATCATATAGTCTGCATACAGTGATACAGGCTGCTTGATACTGATTTAGATGATGTGCAAGATGATGAACTTGTGGGGAACCTGAGTAGTAAAGATCTGTTTGGGGACATGGAGGATGAAGAATTAAATGAAGACCTTGAACCCAATGAAGAGTGAAGATTCGTTTCAACAAAAGTTCGCAATACTAAAGTTTTAGATGACTGATTTTCTTGGAAAGTTAGAATGTTTTTTAATTCTTACTACTTCATTGTTAGGATTATAATTATTTTATTCATACTTAAGAATTATAATACTAATAGCTTACTAGAATTTTGGGGCAGTTTTATTTAAAAAATTTATTAATACAAGGCCGAGTCACCGAGTAAGCCCGAGTAATCGCCTAATTGGTCCTGCTCACTACTCGTCACTTGAACGAGTTGCTGCTGAGTAGCAATTTAACTACTGGCTGTGGAACATGACTTTTCCACTTAGTCGTGTTGAGTAAATTTGGCGCTCAGGTTATAGTTTAATTTCAGAAATTAGTTATTACTACTGTCAGCTCCTCTCCTACATACTGTCACTAAGCCTATAATTCTTTATTCTTAAATTTGCAATCTTTATTGGATTCATTTAGTTTCTGCGCCTATTAGTTAATCTACTTTTGAAAAAAATACATTTTTGATCTATACCCATGTTTTCTTGATAACAGGCTCACTTCTCCAAGCGGCACTTTGGTATGGATTTGTTGTCCACATGAGAATCTATCCTATAATTTATGCACTTCCCATAATTTTGGCTCTTGATCCTCTAAATTTCCAGCCTCATAGTACCGAGCCCACACTGACAGATTGGAGTTCTTTAAAGCCAAGTTCATATCTCGAAAGACGTTCTCTTTGTGCTTTCTTGATAAGCATTTTATCTTGGAGGAGGGTGATGTTTGGATTAATTTCTGGTGCTATGTTCTTTATCTCGACTGGGTTTTTCTTCTATTTATACAGATGGGAATTCTTGCACGAAGCTCTGCTATATCATCTCACTCGTACTGACCCAAGACACAATTTTTCAATATACTTCTACCACATATATCTCAACTATGAATATGAGTTCTCAGTCTTGGAAAAGCTAGTCTCTTTTTTTCCTCAGATTATGGTGCAGCTAGCAATCATCTTCTGTTTCGCCCAAGACCTTCCCTTTTGCTTCTTCGTGCAAACAGTTGCATTTGTTGCATTTAACAAGGTTTGTCAATACTGGTCAGTCTTTAATGTAGTGCCTGTTTGGTAGTTTTTTTTTTTTTCAGTTTCACCCCTATCAACCGGAATTTTCAGCAAACACTAAATTATTTCACTGTGTTGAGACTTGTGACTGAATTGGTAAATGATAATGAAAAAAGTAACGCATAAGCTACTTTTCTATCTGAAAGCTAAAATAATGAAAAAGTAGCACTACAACCTTAATTGTAGATATTCTTTTTTTTAACATATTTAAAATCTATGTATCAAATAAATATTGTAGATATTTCATCAAATTCAGTCATTCTACCCACATATTTCTCATATTCAGCCATTTTTGGGCTCTTGGTTTTCCTCACAATTATGCTCTACTTGTAAGAATTTTTGTATTACTTGCCATTTGCATACAGGTCATTACTGCTCAATATTTTGTATGGTATTTTTGCCTATTGCCATTGATTTTACCATGGAGTAAAATGAAGCTGAAAGGGGAGGGGCTAGGCTGCATTCTTCTGTGGATCGGAGCTCAGATGCATTGGTTGTTCTGGGCATATTTGCTTGAATTCAAAGGAAGGAATGTATTTATTCAACTTTGGATAGCTAGTTTGCTGTTCTTGGCTGCAAATACCGTTGTCCTCAGCTCCATCATAAGGCAACACTGCTACTCTCCGGTGTTCTCCAAGTCTGCACATGGGGTTTCAAACAAAACTGTGAAACACGAATAGGTGTGGTCCGACAAACACAGCTTAATCACAAGGATACATCTTTATCAGTCGTAGAGCAACTCTTTTTTTAAAGAAGGGTGGGCCGGGGCAGCTGATAAGTTTGAATAGTTGGGGGCTCTATTTGAATGGTCCCGCATGTCTGATGTCATGGTGCCATGTTGCTCAATATATATCTTAGTGGTGCTGTGTTGAAAGTATATACATGCTGAAAGCATAGAAAGTAACTTCAATGATTCTGGGAAAGAGTCCGGAGGACAGAGTCCTCGTATCCTTAGAAAGACATACAAAAGATTTGTTATAGAAGAGCAATGTCCACATTTTTATTTATGATTTTGAGTATTTGTGAAGTCGGTTAAGTTACTTGTATGATTGTATCATAGACACATGAAACTATGAAAGGAATCCACCAAGAGAAATAATTCATGTTTCAAGAATCATCCGACCTTGAACGTTTTGATTTATAGTGCAAGTATTGTGTGGAACGATATAGATCTAGTGAACAATCTTCCAACGATTTTTATTTCGTTTGTAGACACTAGACAACCAATAGGGCGCTTTTGTCTTGAAAGATTTTAGTCTTTCACTTACATGTAGGCTATGTTTGGTTTGATGTGATCAATCGTGTAATGTAATGAGTATTACATTTTGATTCAAATACAATGTTTGGTATGACATTTTATTTTAAACTTTAATGCAATGTGTATTACATATGTGGAATTCATTACTTTAATGTGTAATAACTAATAAGCATTGCATTAGAAAAATTATGTATTTGAGATTGCACTTTCTTGTATTTCTTTTCGACCAACTCTCCCACTCCTAACATAGTAGCATATGAACTTTTCTCTTTCAAATTTGCACTTTTTCTTCTTCTCGGGTTTTCTACAGTTGCTAACCAAATATAGTAATGGAATATCGATTTTATTCCATTGTATTACGTAGTACAATTTTTATTGCATTACATGCTCTTCCATTGCATTTCATCATATCAAACATAGCCTTAGTTTTGTTTCTAAACGCTCAGTTTTGACTAAGTACTCCCTATTTTTAATTATATAAAGATAAACCATTTTTATAAGTAGAAGCAATTTTATATAAAGATAAACCATTTTTTATAAGTAGAAACAAACACAAAAGGTATTACGATTTTAGACTTTAAACAAATTACTGGTATATTGGATCAAGTCCGTTGAAAACTGGAATCGTGTGCACATTTCCTTACAGAAATAGCTATAGTGCAATAGAGTTAGATGCTCCGGGTCCACACAAACAAGTACTACCTCCGTCCCAAAAAATCTTCTCACTTATCTTTTTGGAAAGGTTTGCATGATTACCATTCATTTACCTTCTTACTAAATCACAATCATACATTTCCACTTTATTATTACTTTCTTAAACTTTGTTCCAAGTCAAACCGGAAAGAATTGTTCAGGACGAATGGAGTATAACCATACCTACTATATTTCAATGATCCTCAAATTTGGAAATGTAATTAATAAATTTTTAATTCACATTTTGTGGAAGAATTTGATCATTCAAATAAAACACACAATATATAAAAGTTCGTACATTTATTACTACATGTATGCATTTGGCGCCAATTTGAAAGTTAGTTTGATGGGTTTTTATCATTTGATAAAACACATAATAAACCAGTAATTTGAGCAACAGTTTAAGATCTTAAATGATGCGTTCTTGAAATCATATTAATGTATTCCTGAAATCATGTAAATTTTATATAGGTGTACAATACATCTCTAAACCCTTTTATCTTTCCAAAGCATTTACCTTCCAAAGCATATCATGTACACATAAATGATAAATCTATTGAAAGAACGTCATTACAATTTACAAATAGCTTTTACCTTGCAAATCAAAAGACAATAGTTAAAATTAAAAAAAAAAAGTTGAAAAAAATGCAAAAGACAAAAAAAGAAATAAAAATTTATCGGATGACGGATGGTGAGGATACTTTAGAGTGTCAACTATAGTTAAGAAAATAAAAAAAATTGCACTTTCGTGGATTTCTGATTATCGCTCTCAAGTCTCAACCAGACTGACAAGCTGTGGACTAAAATGCTACATACAAGTAAAACTTTTCCTAACAAAATTTTGCCACAAAGTTATATATAAGACAGCCAGGGCTGCCAGCGTGACATCCTTTTTATGAACCAGAATGTTAAATGCAAGGCAAACTTTTCCTCATACAGTTGTTAGCGGCCGGAAGAGATACTTATGGAGCCATAATTCCTTCAATTGTGTAGGCTAATGATTTTGCCCAGTCAGCTTTGAGCAGCAATGTCTGCAGTGTTCTCATTATGTCATAATCTGGGTCAAGTTTCCGTTGCCAACCCTGTCAACACACCATGAAAAGTGCTATTTTAGGAGAATAGTTGTAGACTAAAAAAAACACCCTTTTAAGGCGTGTTAAGATCATGGAAAATGTTCTGGAAAGACAAACAGCGCTACACAAGTTTGCTTGTTTATGTTGGTTTATCTTAGACAATGCAAAGTAATATTAGATAAAAAAATTTACTACCTCCGTCCCACTAAGATTGGGAAAAGAGAAGGTGACGATTATTTAGAAAAGTGGGTTTGTGTGGTTGATATTAAATTGATAAAGTAAAAATAAAGTAAGAATGGTTTAGAACCGCACAAACATTACCAAATTTGGTATAAGACAATCTTAGTGGGACTTCCCGAAAAGGTAAAATGGGTCAATCTTAGCGGGACGGAGGGAGTATAATTCAACAATCTTCACAATCCTTTCCTTCCTATATCTTTCCCTAGTATTTTCCTGGATCCACACAAACCCTTATTGACAAACTTACCTCCAGGACTAAAGTCGTTACCATCGCGGCACACACATTTCCATCAATGTTTACTTGGTGACGCCTAACTTGTTCAAGCAGATGATGCATGCAGTCGGCAGGGTGGACTAAATCGCCTTCTGCAGTCCCCCAAAAATCAAACGACTCTTTGACTTCCTGTTACGAGGATGATTCAAACACAAAAACTTAATTACACGTAATTAAGTTATCACACCAAACACCACAGCCCACATGCTAAAATTGTGATACTAGCTTTTTAAATAATTTACTACCAAATTAGTCTTTATAAAACTACGACTATAAGTTTAGAACTATACCTCTCCCCAAAAGTCATGATGGTCAAATTAAAGGGATTAAGACGTAGAGTGTCATTAATCACACCATATCAATCTAATGGATTGGTTGAAGTGTGGTGTTGTGCATTTACATACACATGTGAATATATTTTTAAAAATTGAAAATGATGTGTTAGAATTTGAATGTCAAAGTTGTTATGGTTCTTGTTAGAACTTGAGATAAACGATAAAATGAGTGTGCTCAAAGCTTGATGTTTTCTAATAGTCTGCTGTCTTTATCACGGGCTTCAGGTAAATGCCACAGTAGCTTTTTCTATACCAGAAACTAAACAAAGAATGCTAGATTAGACCAATAGACCCAAACTAAAAAAAACTATAAAAAAAAAGAGGTTTAACCTTAATGAAGGCTTCTGGATTGGGGCAATTCTGGTTCTTCGATAATCTCAAAGTGGCTTCAGCTGCTGAGCGGCCATCTCTGGAAGCGACGGCCTTAAAAAAATCAAGTAAATTTCCCCTGTCATTTTTTGACAGTTCAGCAGTCATGCCGACATCAAGAAAAATGACATGTGGCTTTGTTTTGGAGATACGTCTGCGTGATGACTTGCTCTGAGGTACCCTTACTAGAATATTCCCAGGATGCATATCAGCATGCATAAAGTTGTCTACCTGGAAGAAGGAAAGCCAATTTCAGCACTGTAACACAGATAATAGGGAAAGTAATGGCAGTCCACATTTTTCATATGCAATCAGTGTCTCCTCATTTTTATTATTTTACTTAATATGTTATTAAACTCAACCCATAACATAAGATTGCTCTGAGGTATGCTCATATAGTCATATGTTGCAATTTGTTTCACAAAATACCCTTGATATATACTCGTATCAATCTTACAATAAATGACAGGTAGAACTTCTTACAATCTCCCCCCTCCCCTCCCCCCAAAAAAAACCCCACACACAAATAACTGTCAGTATGAAAAGATGACAAGCATGAGAGATTATATTCCATGCCAAAAAAATGGGGAGAGATGGTTTCTCTTAAAATCTTTCCTAATCATGATACAATCATACTTGGAATTGATCATATCAAGTCTATCTTTTTACTATTGTATCGCACACTCCTATGCAGGTTTAGAGAATAACAAATATTCTAACTTCATCTGGAAACATACTTTATTGATATGGTATATCACTATATCCATATAAATACAAATCCAAAAACAAGCCAAGAGATATTGAAGGTTGCCCTGTGGCTAAATGACGCAACATATCAAACACAATATGATAACAATACAAAGGAGAAATTGTCATTTGTGCCCCCCAATTATTCTGCCCTCTACAATGTAGTCCCTCATTATTACTTTGTTATCCAACCCTCACTTGTTTCTCTAGTCAATTCAGAACTATCAAAAAGAGGGATCTTATGAGAAAAAAGAAAGCTAAGGCATCACATTTAAGTATAATTGTCCTTAACACCACTCAGAAACCAAAAGAACTACTTCATGCATTGAAGTAATACCATACATTTACATGGGGGGAAACAAAGAATATATTACCAGAAGCATTTTGAGAAGTGCATGGGTACCAATGTGAGCAAGAGCACTCTTAAGGCGTTCATTCCCCTGCATCCCATCAACATAGTGTGACACACATTCCCCTTGCTCAAAAGTTTCTACTAATACTGCAGGGTGCACGAGTGGGTACACAGGCTTAGGAAAAGATACATCCTTCCATCTCCGAAAATTATAAATGAAACGACTCAAATGAGAAGCTTCCCTTGCAAGATCTACTTGGGACATCATAAAAACTGCAAATTGCTGGACACTCTCATCCAACCTCAGCCATTTCAGAGCAGGAATGGCCTTTGACATTTTAGCAAACATATTAATGATTTCAAAGTCTCTTCTAATAGATTCACCGACTCCGGGATGTCTAACCTTAACGGCCACATCAATGGGTTTGTTCTCCCTACCATGATATCTATATTTCAGAGAAGCTCGATGCACCTGAGCTATACTCCCAGATGCAACAGGAGTTTCCTCAAAATCATCAAAAATTTCTGAAATCTTACGGCCGAAAGCTTTCTCAATTGCTTTTTTCGTATATGAAAAGGAATGCTCAGGGGCCTTGGTATGAAGCTTTGACAGCTGAGTACATAAATCACTAGAGAACAGGTCAGGGCGAGTAGCTGCCCACTGGCCCCACTTTATAAAAGCGGGCCCTGCTCTTTCAAGTGTTCGATGAACAACCTCAAGCCACATTTTGCGGAAGCGGGGTCCAAGAGCATCGGCAAAAGGAGCCATTGTTATGCTTGGTGTGAAGAGTATTGTCAAATAAATCCCTCTAAACAATAAAACAAAACCTTCAAATATTGAATGAACCAACCCTGTAAAGAAAGCATGGCCATCTTGAGCATGCATATAAAGTGTATTTCTTGGGTGGATGAAATCCATGTCAGGTGGTGCTTGTGCCCATGCAACACGCCCTCCATATAAAATGGAAAAAAGTCCGGGAACAGTCACATATGAGCGG